CTGGGGTTATGCTGAGTCTGCTGGAGCCTCCGGAGTGCTCCTCTGAGCCTAACTGGCAAGATGTATTGGGAGTTTCAGCGCTGGTTATCTCTAGAGAAGAGGTCTAGTCCTAGACCCTGTCTAAACTGTCCTTGGGCACAAGCTTAGCACTGTTACCATATTGTTTAATAATGATAAAGCTTTACTGTAATCACTTCCCCTCTTCTTAGAGACAGGATGTCACTATGTAGTTTTGGCTAACCCGGAATTAGCTATGTACACCAGGCTGTCCTTGAACTCACAGAGATCCACCCAAGGCAAGTACCCAGCTACTAACTGTTGTTGGTATTTTTTTTAACTCTTACTCTGGGGGGTGGGGAGGGCACCAAAGAGTAATCATACAGAGACTTACTCTTTCTTATGAATGTCTAGTCTTAACTTGGCTTATTTCTAGCCATCTTTTCTTATGTTATCCCATATATCTTTTGCCTCTGGGCTTTTACCTTTTTATATACCTTTTACTTCTTACTCCATGACTTGCTGTGTAGTTGGATGGCAGGCCCCGGGTTAGAGTCCTCCTCTCCTCCCTTTCTTGGTCCTCCTTTTTTTTTTTTTCTTGCTTTTTCAAGACAGGGTTTCTCTATGTAGCCCTGGTTGTCCTGGAACTCACTTTTTAGACCAGGCTGGCCTGGAACTCACAGTGATCCGCTTGCCTCTGCCTCCCAAGTGCTGAGATTAAAGGCTTATGCCAACACTGCCTGGCAGGGTCCTTCTTTCTACTCTTCTTCTCTTTCTATTTATTCTCTGCATTCCAGCCCCACCTCTCCTTTCTACTGCCTTGTTATTGGTCATTCATCTCATTATTAGAACAATCAGGTGGGTTTTTTTAAATTGTTTATTTTATTGGTGATTTAGCCTGTATGTATATCTGTGTGAGGGTGCTGGATCCTAGAGTTACAGACAGTGGTGAGCTGCCATATGGGTTCTGGGAATTGAGCCTGGGTCCTCCAGAAGAGAAGTCGGTGCTCTTAACCATCTCTCCAGCCCCTAATCAGGTGTTTTAGACAGACAAAGTAACACAGCTTCACAGAGTTAAAAAAAATACAACATAGAAGAATGCAACACATCTTTGCATCATTAAACAAATATTCCACAGCATAATCAAATGTAACACGTCTTCAACTAATATTTCACAACTAATCATCCCTTCTAATGTTTATCTCTCTGGACTGGCGTGGAGGCACAGGAATAATTGAGACACAGTTCACACAGAAATATCGGAAGGGAGTCTCAGGGTTCATTTAAATCCTGAAGATCACCCGTGTTTATTTTCAAAACAGCTTTTATATCCACAGGTAAATTGAGGGGGAAGTTCATTAGCATTTCCGGGGTAGCGGGGCTAAATGTCCGCAACTCTGGCTGCTCTGTCACTTAGCTTAGATTAAAACCTCTTCCCATAATTACAAGAAAGGGAGCAGAACAACGTTAGCATATCCTGACCCTGGCGACAGTCTGTCTGTAAATGCTAGGTGACCACCTCAGGTGCGACCTATGGCTTGAGACCCTGGCTCAATGTGTGGCTGCCATACAATGTAAAAAATATTGACCTGTGTAATATTGACCCACACTGATGAACACTGACAGCCATTTTCAACTTGACCAGACAGGGAGACTTTACTTAGCAGTCAAACATAAGGTCCATGACTGGTGCAGTTTTTGTTTGCGCCACGGACTGTAGTATAATCGGCACATGCACAAAATCCTTTGTTTGAGTTAAAGACTTCTGTAATTGATTCAAACATCCTTTTGTATGAGCAGGCTACCTGTTTGTTTTCCAAGACAGCTGAGTGAAAACTCCCCTGTGCTCTAACCAGAAGCCCAATTAAAGGCTTCTCTCCAGTGGTCTTTCTTTTGTCTACTTTTGTTTTTAATCATGAGTAGAGCAGGTTTATCTGGTCATAGGAAGAGCTGTGGAGCAGGGAAATGGTAGCGAGGACAGTGGTGGTGGTGACAGTGGGATCTAGACTGTCCCAAAGAGCAGCCATTAGCAGGGAGCAGAGGCTGGGACAGACTGGAGGTGGGAAATGGCCTTGGTTGCCAGAGTTGTAGGGAGCTGACAAGCTTTGAAAGGACCAAAGCTCCCAGGCTCGTCAGGACGGAAACACTGGCCTCTGTAGGAGTTAAGGATCTGGGAGCCTGAGACTCAGGTGGTGTAATATTAACAGTTGCTGCCCAATGCCACCACACACTTCTACTAGATGTTGAGGATTACCGCGGCTGCTGCTGAATGCCAGGGTCACTGGTGGTTACCGTGTAGAGCAGTAAGGCATTAATCTAAGTGCCAACAACATTTAACCTCTGGCTTATAAATTCCACTTCGGGCTTGGAGCTACAGGTAAGTGGTTCTGCCTGTGCGACCCCTAGGCCTTGGGTACTCAAAGGTCAATACTTGAAGAACTTGTTTTTGCCTCAACACATCATTTCTATCCAGGTGGGACCAAAGGACTCCAGAAAGTTGACTGGAACAGAGTTTCATTGGCGGTATCCTTGGCCACTGGCACACGGCGGGGCTGACATCTCCAGTGAAGGAGCCAACACAGACCTTCTGTAGACTTGTGCAATTTTTAGAACAGTATGTGTGCTGAATAGTCTTATGTCAACTTGACACAAGCTAAAGTCATCTGAGAGGAGGGAACCTCAATAAAGAAAACACCTCCCTAAGACTGGGCTGTATGCAAGCCTGTGGGGCATGTGACTAATGGGGGGTGTCCCAGGCCCACGCCACTGTGGTTCTGTAAGAAAGCAGGCTGAGGAAGCCATGATGAGAAAGCCAGTAAGCAGCCCCCCTCCATGGCCCCTGATCAGCCAGATTCTCCTACCTCCAGGCTCTAGCCCGTCTGAGCTCCTGTTCTGACTTCTGTCAAGGGTGGACTATGATGGAGTCATAGTTCTCCCCAACTTGCATCTTGGTCATCGTGTTTCATCACAGCAATAGAAACTCTTAACTAAAACAATATGTTAGAAGCGAAACCTAGGACTAGAGAGACGATACAGAGGTTAAGAGCACTGGTTGCTCTTCCAGAGGTCCTGAGTTCAATTCCCAGCAACCACATAGTAGCTCACACCATGTATAATGAGATCTGGTGCCCTCTTCTGGCCTGCAGGCATACATGAAGGTGGAATACTGTATACATAATTAATAAACAACTAAATCTTAAAAAAAAAAAAGAGTAAAACCTAATGGTTAATTTCCAAAGGTTCCTCAAGCCAGTTTAGGTCTATATAAAAATGAACAGAAAACACTAGCCCCCTGCTATACCTGCTAATTTAGCTATCCCCCATAACTGCACCAAACTCTGCTAAGCTTCCCCTCCCCCTCAAAAAAAACCCTAGAAGTTTAGGGTAGAAAGCTGCAGCCAAGCTTGGTTGTAAGGTCATGAGTCTGACCTTCTATAGGAGGATATCAAATAAACAGGATATAAAATGTAGAGATAAACTGGGCGTGGTGATGCATGTCTTTAAGCCCGGCACTTGGGAGGCAAAGGCAGGCGAATGTTTGAGAGTTTGAGGCCAGTGTGGTCTATAGAGCAAGTTCCAAGACAATCAGGGTTACTCAGAGAGAGAGACAGAGAGAGAGCTGCTTGATTGGAGCCTCGTCCAGCTCATCCGGAAAGCCCCATTTCTCCGGCTCGCTCACAGATTCTCCAAACAAATGAAAGGCGCCAATGGCTGTGGCAGACACAACATCACCCCTTGCCTATAATCTATAAAATGTTCCAGTTTTAGTCTGGGGATTCAACTTCTTTGGCCTTGATCTCTGGGAGCAGAGAACCTGCCCGGGAGTTGCTTTGCTCAATATAACTGTGTTTTTTCAATTAGGCTAGACCTGGCTTACTGCGTCAGCAGAGAAACTTATTATGGGTGTGTGTGTGTGTGTGACATAGAACCTATTAAAACCCACACAGTTTTTTGTTAATACATATGACTATTAAGATTGTACCCTCCATGGGGCTGGAGAGAACACTCATTGCTTGTTTGAGATATTTACAAATTACAAATTACACTTTGTGAAGATGTATTTGCTGTGATTGGTGTAATAAAAAGCTGAACGGCTAATAGCTAAGCAGGAAGTATAGGAAAGATTTCCAGGGAGAGAAAAGAAGAGGAGGAGGAATGGAGGCGCACAGGATACTAGGAGACATGGAGAGGAAACAGGAGGTGCAAGATGGAAGAGAGGTAACCCATGTGAAAGACTGTAGATTACTATAAACGGGTTAGTTTGTTAACAGCTAGTTAGGAACAAGCCTGATCTATACGCTGAGCTTTCATAATTAATAAGAAGTCTCTGTGTCATTATTTGGGAACTATCTAGCGGGACAGAAAGTTAATTGTTACAGTTGCTCTTCCAAAGAATCCTTGGCACGGTTTCCACACCCACATGGCAGCTATATCTAACTCCAGTTCCAGGGGATCTGGTGCCCTCTTCCGGACTCCATGAGCACCAAGCACGCACAAGGTGCACATACACACACACAGGCAAAACACTAACATGCACAATAAAAATAAAATTCTCTGCCTCAATCAGCTTGCATTCTAGGCTCACGCTTAACTTTGCAAGATCGTAAAATAAACTGCCTTAATTTCACTACTCTGAGTCTCCAGTGGCTTATTACAAAGTTAAGATCATGTTCTCAGGCACAGCGGCTCAAAGCTGTCTTTCGACCACGCGTGTGCACACACACACACACACACACACACATACAATAATAATAATAAAGGTGTTTAAAAACCCAAAACCAAAAGCTCCAAACAGAACCAACACCACCAGAACGAACCAACAAGAAACCGTCAGTAAAATTTCTCTACAAGGACTGCCTTTCCCAGCTCTTCCAGGGATATCTGGCGACATCTACTGCTGGGCATCGTCGCTAACCCCATACCCACGTGGGCAAACAAGGCCTCTCACCGCTGCGTCTGCGCACTGGGTCCTCTGGCTGGACGCAGTGGTCTGGGCCGGAAGTCTGGCACGGAGAAGGCTCGGGTCCCCACTTTCATCCTAGAGCGGCTACGGATGTCCTCCGGGCGGGGCGTCGGGTTGCTTCCGGCCGGGGTGTGCAGAGGCGGTGTGGGCTTTGTGGTCGCCCGGGGCTGCGCAGCCGGGTGCGGCTCGGCAAGCTTCGGTGCCGTCCTCTCGCCGCCGGGCTCCGGGTGAGTGGGGCGTCGTAGTTGGCGCGGGCGGGCGGGCTAGTGGCCAGCGGGGTTCAGCAATTCGGTTTGGTGTTCCGGGCCTGGCTGCACTTCATTTTTGCAGGTGTCCGCAGCTCCTTGCTTCGTTCCGGCCGAGCCCTGCGGTTTTTCCTCCCCGACCTGGGTGTGATAGATGCTTGGGCTGGTCGCCCTACGACATCGAGGTCCTTAGGGGTTGCACACTCATCCTTGGCGCCCAGAGCTCAGGCCTCTGTTTGGCCGCTTGCAGGCTGCTCAGATGCAGCTGAGTGCAGGTGCACGCATCTACTGTTCTGCTTGGACCTTGCCCTCCTGCCTTTCGTCAGACCTCTCGGTCTCTCCTGGAGGAGATGCAGTGCAGGCACCCCAGTGCTTCGGGGGTTGCAGATAATGTGCGTGTTGGGCAGAATCAGCTTCTTAAGACCTGAAGGAGGATTCCCAGGTGGGGGTCATGTGTCAGCCAAGCTGTCACAGTCAGTGATGACATAACAGAGTCAACGCCTGTGATATCTCTGTGATGATGCTCGGAACATTTAACCCTCCTTGCATCCTGCCCCACTGTGGTCCAGTAGTCCCCAGGGCCTGAGTAGTACGCTAAAGGTTTCCTGTGGGTTTTAGCAGGAGTATGGCTCTAAATTCCAGCAGTTTCCTGCAGGAGCCGGTACTCACAGTCACCCGGTGCACTCAAGACATCCTTCCCCTGAGACCCATCCCAATGAAAGAGAGAAATAATTGTCTTTTGCTCGCGGAGAAATCAGTGCGCCACCCTCCATCCCCCACTCCACGCGGGGTTTCGTTGTTGTTTTAGGTTTTAGAGACAGAGTTTCTCTGTGTAGCTCTAGCTGTCTTGGAACTTGCTCTGTAAACCAGGCTGGTTCCACCTGCCTCTGCCTCCCGAGTGCTGGGATTAAAGGAGCGAGCCACCATGCCCAATTTACACACCGACTTTTAAGGCCATGTCTCACTTCCTTTTTAGCAGACTGCAGACCTTTCGTGGATGCAGCATTGTATCTGTTTCAATACTTCGTGGGAGGTACAGAGAAACTTCACAGGCCGGTATATTTGGCTCTGGACACTGCTGGTTCTTTGAGGGTGGAATCCTAGTCCTGGAATAATTGGGGGGGGGTGATAGAAAGCAGAGCTGGGAAAAACTCATGATCTGATCTGATCTTGGAAGGGATGTCAGAGAAGCAGCAGGCTTGAAGTAATTCAGAGAGCCCTCCTAACTGCTTCTTTGGCTTGTGGAAGGAAGATGGCTGCTGTTAGGCCCCTGGGCTTGTTGGAAAAGAAACTTGTTTGTGTCAGTGGGAGACCCTGTGTGCAGGTACTAGGGGCAGAGATTGGACGAGGAGCCCTAAGGGGGCAGCCAGCCACTAGCTCTATTCTTTTCGACCTCCAGTAAGCTGCCTCTGGTAAACTTATAGATGATTCTGAGAACAGAATACAAACCTGCTTTGCCCACGTGGCACCCAGCTGCCTGTGCAACGGCAGAGGCTTCTAAGGAGGTGGGTGTTGAGGCCCACTTGCCTGGCTATTCCCAAGGCTATGCCAATTTTCGTACTCTTATTTTATTTTATGTGTATGGGTGTTTAGTCTGCACATATCCCTGTCCGTCACATTTGTGCCTCTTATTTTATTTTATGTGTATGGGTGTTTAGTCTGCACATATCCCTGTCCGTCACATTTGTGCCTGGTGCCCTCAAAAGCCAGAAGAGGGCATTGGATCCCCTAGAACTGGAGTTACAGAGTTGTGAACTGCTGTGTGGGTTCCGGGAATTAAACCCAAGACCTCTGAAAGAATAGAGGAAGAGACCTGGTCAGTCGTCCTCATCAACTTAGACCCTGAAACCCAATATAAACAGGTTCAACAGAACCACCATATACGGGCTGCCCACGCAGCTTCAGCATTGCCAGAGCCTAAATTTCATTTTTCCCCCCTCTGGAAGAGTAACGAATGCTCTTAACCGCCAGGCTATCTCCCAAGCCCCCAATTTGCTGATTTTTTTAATTTATTTATTATGTATACAATATTCTGTCTGTGTGTATGTCTGCAGTCCAGAAGAGGGCACCAGACCTCATTCCAGATGGTTGTGAGCCACCATGTGGTTGCTGGGAATTGAACTCAGGACCTTTGGAAGAGCAGGCAATGCTCTTAACCACTGAGCCATCCCTCCAGCCCCCCCAATTTGCTGATTTTGAGATGAACATTTCTTCAAGCAGATACGTTTTATTCAAGAGATTTCCCTTAAAGCAAGAACTTATAAAAGTCATAAAGAGGCAACATGGTTTTAAGCTATTCTTGTAAACAGAAACAGATGTAGGCTTGTTTCCAGGTAGCATCGTCATTGTAAGTATGATATCCAGGGCTGAGGAGTAGCTCATTGGTAGGACACTTACTTGCCCAGCATGCGTAATACCCTGAGTTCTACATAATGCATAATATCCTTAGTGCTACATACAATAGTAAAAGTCTAAAACCAGAAACCACATGTCCATTTTACCCTTTTTTCAAACATTAAGTTTCAACATGCAAATTTCTTTTTTTTTTTAATTTTTTTTATTTTTGTTAAATATATTTATTTATTAAGGATTTCTGCCTCGTCCCCGCAACTGCTTGCAAATTTCTTCATAGTACTAACCTCGTCCATTTCTAAGCAAAACACCCGGTAAGAGCAACATGTATTTACAAAGAATCAAGTCTCTCACAGCACGAAGTGGACTCTGAGTGACAGACCTGAACCCGAGCCTTCGCTCAGCTCCTGACTAGGCTAGTGATCTTGGCTAATCCACGTTCTCTTCTCGTCTCTTCTCCCTGTCGCTTGTTGACACACGTGAGATGACACTGGTCCTTTCTGAGCACCATGGCTGGGCTGCCTCAGACTTCCTTATGCTGGCTGCCGGTTAGACTCCTGTGCAGCAGGCTGGAAGCACTGCCTTGCTGTAGCTTTGGGGGTTCTGAAGCTTAAAGCTTGCATGGCCACCCCACAACCCACACGCCCAGACAGCTCGCTCTTTGAAGGAGCGGTGGGAAAGATCTGGCTCAAATGCCTAGTAAGTGACCCAAGGAGAAGAATGCTGGGGGGAGGGGGAGTTAGGAGAGCCTTGAAGGTTTTTACACAGGAAGTCACCATTCCATTTATACTTTTAAAGAGTCATCCTGCTGGCTCTTCAGAAAACAGTGGAGACAGGTTAGACAGTTGTCCCCCTTGCGTGTTAAGAAATAATAGTAGAGAATAGCATTGGAGTTTTGAGATGAGCAGAATGCAATATAATGGTCTGGCCTATAGGTCTGCTGGTGGATTGGATGTGGGGCATTCATAAAAGTAAAGGGAACTAAGGATATGCACAGTTCTGGCCGAACCAGTGCAAGCTGATGGAGAAGGGGCAGATTTAGCAGAAGCCGGAAGGTTGACACCTGAGGTTTGAAAACCTGAGAAGGCATCAGGTTGAGAACTAGTCATGTCGAAGCTGGAAAAGAGCCCAGCTGCAGGAAGAAAACTGTTTCCAGCCAGAGATACCATCTCTCTGCTAAGGTAGGTCAGTGATGGAGGAGGTCTTGCCTGGATTGTGGCAAGGCTCCATTGTCATCACCAGACACTGGGAGAAGGTAGTTAGTGAATGAGAAAGCTGGTAGAGGCTGCCCCAGGGGCACTGTGACAAGATAACTTCCTGAGTAAGAAGTCATTGAGTGTCTGGTGCGGGCAGAAGCGGAGCTGAGTAAGTGGCCGAAGTTTGTGACACCGTAAACTATTGTGATAACCTGACCCCGGCGTATTTAAGAAAGAAAGGAAATACAAAAATAAACTCAGTGACCTGTGAGTGTCATTATAAAGGAGAGGTGGGGTGGTAGCTGGAGAGGAAATAAAGGCCAGGAAGTTAGGTTGGTATTCTTGTTCTGTGAAACAGGATATATGTTCCCCCCCGGAGTAGCAGAGACTAGATGTGTGTGCCGTTTAGTTTTTTAAATGAGATTTTGATAATCTACCTAGAAGATGTCATGGCTCTCTTGTTCCCTACTATATCAGTCCAGGAATTCTGTCCCCAGTTAAGTGGATGGAAGAGCTAGCATTGCTGTATGCTGATTGGAATGGCAGGCTAGACGGCAAGAGAAGCTTCTGTGTAAGCGGGAGGGAATGATGGCTGGGTGAGATGGATGGGAGGAGGTCTAGAGCAAGGGGAGGTGAACCATCTCTCAGGTCAAGTTTAGCTTGATTCCGAGAAGAGGGAGGTAAACACAGGCCGGCGGTGGAAGTGGGCGTTCTTGTCTCACTGCCCTTGCTTTCTTACTGAAGCAAGGGCTAAGGGATAGAAAAAATGCTAGACATTTTAAATATTTATTTTATGTGTATGAATGTTTTACCTGTATATGTATATATACCATATGTGGTCCTGATGCCCACATAGGTCAGAAAACAGCATCAGATCCCCTGGAGGTGAAGTTACAGACAGTTGTGAGCTGCCGTTGTTGTGTATGCTGGGAACTGAACCTGGGTCCTCTATAAGAACAGCAAGTACTCTTAACTGCAGAACCATCTCTACAACCCCACTGTCGGCCTTTTGAAAAGAAGAAAAGGATGACCGGGCAGTGGTACACACCTTTAATCCTGGCACTCGGAAGCAGGTGGATCTCTGTGAGTTCGAGGCCAGCCTGGTCTACAAGAGCTAGTTCCAGGACAGACAGAGCTACAAAGTGAGACCCTGGCTTGAAAAACCAAAAAATAAAAGATAAAAATAAAAAAGAAGAAGAAGGAAAAGAAAAAAGAAGGAGGAGAAAAAGAGAGTTGGGTGAGCGTAGTCATGGCTGGCAGCCCTCAGGGTGTCAGGGCTGTAGATATAAGAGCACTTGGTCAGCAAGAGTTCAGACAGATCCAAAACAGGCTGAAGGTGGCCGGAGCTGGGTCTCACACAGGTGACAGGAAGAAAAGGGCAGCTGAGTTCCACGAAGAGGATTTATACCTTTTCTCACTGCAGCTACTTGAGTCTCTTCCTTAAAATGTTGTGCATTGCCAGTACCTTTAATCTCGGCACTGGGGAGGCAGAAGCAGGTGGATCTATGCGAGTCTGAGGCAAGCTTGGTTCATGTAGGGGGATCTAGGCCAGCCAGTACCACATAGTGAGACCCTGCCTTTAAAAAAAATGTGTTAATGTTTGGGTGCCATCTGCTCACAGCTCCTGTCCTTTAAATCATCTCTGCTACTTACTGTACCTGATACATTGTGACAGTGAGGTAAGTCTGTTCTCCAGATAAAAGATAAAAAGTGTGTACATCTTCAGTACAGATGTAGGGTTTTTGTTGATGTTGTTATTTCTGTTTTTTATTTTTTATCTGAAATGGGCCAACTCTTGGAGACAGAGCCCAATGATTTTTAGGGCTAAGTATATAAACTGTTGAGAATTGTGCCAGTGAGGCCTCTGGAGCCATTCCAGTCATCAGGGGAGTCCATTGAGGGGACTGGATTATAAGGCTACCAAAAGGGTGAGAGATTGAGAGCCCAGCTGGGTTCTGGGCTTCAGTCACTGCAGGCCAGAAATGCCGCATTGCTGCTAGCACTGAGGCCCTGTGTATTACACATACACAGCGAGTGCAGTGCTGTGGACCATGGCTGCTCACTGGGTGCGGACAAGACAGATGAGGCTGGAGGGTAGGAGGAGTGATGGATGTTATTTGCCTGATCTTTAGAATTACATGTCTTGATTTTTTTTGTTGTTTGCTTTTCAAGACAGGGTTTCTCAGTAGCTTTGGAGCCTGTTCTGGAACTCACTATGTAGCCCAGGCTGGCCTCAAACTCACAGAGATCTGCCTGCCTCTGCCTCCCGAGTGCTGGGATAAAGGCGTGCACCACCACCGCCCGGCTACATGTCTTGATTTTTAAGTAGAGCCCCAGCTATATCCCTGTCTCTCTGTCTCCCACCCAGGACAGGTAGAGGGGTGCTGTTTAACTGGCACAGGCCTGTTTGTCCTGGGGTTGGATATATGAGAGGTGGGGCCCCAAGAAGCCTTCCCATGTGTACAATGGGTTGGAGCAAGGTGAGAGTTGGAAACAGTGAAGGGCCCGAAGTGTGGGCAGAGGAAAGGCTTCCTCTCTCACTAGCATGGGAGTTTAATTTTAGAGCTTCTGCCTGCTCAGCAGCTTTTTGTTAACGAAGGGAAAGACATCTTCTTCTCTCATTTCAGATTCTACTGTAGGAGCTGGGGGCAAGAAGGTGCTCCTGAAGCCTGAACTTCTGGGGATGAAAAGTCACAGAATATGATGTCTGACAAACTTACAGTGCTGGAGCCTTCCGCCTCAGAGCCCAGGGAGTTTCATGAAGACAGGTTAGCGCCGCTGTTGGGGAATCCAGAAAGACAGAGCCTCGAGAGTCCCCCCTCTCAGGAGGGGGGCTTCAAACAGATAACAGTGACCCACTGGAAAATCCAAACAGGAGAGACAGCCCAGCTATGCAGTAAGTCAGGAAGAAACCCTGTTCTCAACTCAAACCTTCTGATCCTTCAGAGAGAGCTCATAGAAGGGGAGACCCGTTCTTGTGGTGTTGGTGGCAGAAGCTTCCCATTCAATTCAAATGTAGTTCCACATCCGATTTCTCACGCGGGGGAGAAGCCTTATCAGTGTGATCGCTGTGGGAAAGGCTTCAGTCAAAACTCCCTCCTCACCGAACACCAGAGAGTCCACGCTGGGGACAGGCTCTCTGTGTGCAACGTGTGTGGGAAAGACCTCATTCACTACGCTGACCTAGTTGAGCACCAGCGTGCACACAGCGGCGAGAAGCCGTTCAAGTGTGCACAGTGTGGGAAAGCGTTTTGTCACAGTTCAGACCTGCTTCGACACCAGAGAGTCCACACCAGAGAGAGGCCTTTTGAGTGCAAAGAGTGTGGGAAAGGCTTCAGTCAGAGCTCCTTACTCATTCGCCATCAGAGAATTCACACGGGAGAGAGACCCTACGAGTGTAACGAGTGTGGGAAATCTTTCATTCGGAGCTCGAGCCTTATTCGGCACTACCAGATCCACACAGAGGTGAAACAGTATGAATGCAGAGACTGTGGGAAAGCCTTCCGGCACCGTTCGGACCTCATTGAACACCAGAGAATTCACACTGGAGAGAGACCCTTTGAGTGTCACGAGTGTGGGAAGGCCTTTATTCGCAGCTCAAAGCTCATCCAACATCAGAGAATCCATACCGGAGAACGGCCTTACGTGTGCAATGAGTGTGGGAAGCGCTTCAGTCAGACGTCCAACTTCACTCAGCACCAGAGGATCCACACCGGGGAAAAACTCTACGAGTGTAACGAATGTGGCAAAGCCTTCTTTCTGAGCTCGTACCTCATACGACACCAGAAAATCCACACCGGCGAGCGGGTGTACGAGTGCAAAGAGTGTGGGAAGGCTTTCCTGCAGAAGGCCCACCTCACTGAGCATCAGAAGATCCACACCGGAGACAGACCCTTTGAGTGCAAAGACTGCGGGAAAGCCTTCATCCAGAGCTCCAAGCTGTTGCTGCATCAGATCGTCCACACTGGGGAGAAGCCCTACGTGTGCAGTTACTGTGGGAAAGGCTTTATACAGAGGTCCAACTTCCTTCAGCACCAGAAGACGCACACCAAGGAGAAGCTCCACCAGTACGGTCAGCATGGAACGGATCTCACCCCACCCCCAGACCTTGTCCACCATGAGGATCTTTCCCTGAGCGAGACCGCCCTTCATTTGGGAGAGGCGTCTACAGATCAGGGGTGTCATGCAGGTCACTTATGAGACAGTCGCTCTTGGAGTCAGTAAGTGGTGCTTGGAAACGGGCATACTTAGTATGTGGCTTGTCACATTTCCCAAGTCACAGATAGCCTACTTGTGGTTAGGTCTGTCGTCTGTCACCAGGTCAGGAAAGCTGAGGTGAAAGACCCTCAGAGTGGGGGGACTCTCACTCAAGTCTTGGGATAACACAACCCCCCAGGAACTCACGAGAGACCGTCCTTGCTGCAATCACATGAGGTTTATTGACAGGACAGGAACCAGTGCACTGGGGCTGAAAATCATTTCCCACGTAGGGGTAGAGTTCGACCCCGAGTAGCTGGGAGAAGGGGTATTTAAGGGAAGAAACCATAACCCAATAACCCAAAGGAGGTAGGGAGGGCATCATTGGAAAATTCCGAAAATACCAGTGATAATCACAAGGGGGTAACTCCCTGTTTCTCAAGATTATTCTCAAGATTATAATCTAACTTCAAAGTTAGCTAGTTCCTGGACCAGAGTCACTGAACCGGCTAACCTAGATTTTGGTTCTCCTCTCCCTGCTAGATTTTTTTTTTTTTTGGCTCTACTTTTTCTGCTAGAGGGGTCTGAATTTATCCGGGTCTTTCAGGGGGACTGGACAGCTGGCTTTGAGCTGAACACTGAGGGAGAGCCTCTAGAGCATTTTCTAGATTTTCGTTAAAGTTACACACTGTCGAGTTAAATCTTTTCAGAGATATGGCTACTTCTCTGAAAGGTTGGAGAAAGGGGTTTTCTCATGCAAAACTGCCAGTTGGTTCTTCCCTATTGTCTGGGACTAAACTCCACGCCACAGGGCCACCACAGGGCCAAGTCCCTGGCCTTTGCTTTCTCAACTGTTTGACTCCTGGTAAAGCTTTTGACTTGTTCCTCCGTCCACATCCTCCAGGCCGCTCCCATTCCTGTCCTCATGGGTCTTCCCCTGTCTCCCAAGTCGCTCCTGATTATTCTGCAAGGCCTCTCTCAGGCACCATGCCCCAGAATGCTTCCTTAGAACCGAGCTGGCTTTGTGGCTTGTGCTTCTGTTGCTCAGTGCTTCCCTCTGCTACTGTACCACAATTTTGAATTCTTTTTCATTGTGCTCTGTTCCCTGAGGACAATGATCATATATCATTGATTCCCATGTCCCTAGTGTCTAGCACATGACAATAAACGAAGCAAAAACCCAAGTCTGCGTAATTGGCTTATCCTTTATCTGTCTACTGTCTCGAGACAGGTTCTCACCATGTGGCCCAGACTGGCCTCAGACTCCTCGCCACCCCCAATCTCCTCAGTGTTGGGGTGACAGGTGTGTGCTACAACACCTGCTACCATTCTGTATTGCTGTTTTTAAGTTTGGGGATGTTCTTTCTGTCATCAGCGTGGTCTGTTTTACTAGGAAGTACTGTCTCCCCAAGTCCTGTTGATACTTGCTCTTTAGAGTTGCTGGCTATCTCCTGTCTGTGGTTCTTACCCACCAGGTGTGGCATGGCCCTCATTCAGAGCTGCCCATTGTACTTTGAGGGCAATGCCCTCATGTTTACATCAGTCTTTTTCTATTTTAGCAGCTCCAGGCTCGACTGTCTCTTTCTAACGTCACTTGTTTGGAAATGTTTGAAATTAAGATATTTGAGGAATAGTTTTAGATTCTTGAAAGATGAGAGTAAGAAGGTGCCATGCACCCTATGGGGAGTGTGCTGGTGGAGCCAGACGTATCACAGAACAGTGTGCGAAGTGGGAACCAGTCCTCGCGAGAGCTCTGGACCAGGGGCTAAGAGTGGCACTGTAGATCTAGGAAGGCTCCGGAGCAGACTTGATTTTATTTTATTTTTGGTTTTTTGAGACAGGGTTTCTCTGTAGCTTTGGAGCCTGTCCTGGAACTAGCTCTTGTAGACCAGGCTGGCCTCGAACTCAGAGATCTGCCTGCCTCTGCCTCACCACTGCCCGGCACAGACTTAATGTTTTACCTGTCCAGAGAAGTCAGTGGACATCTGCCAGCCTAGGAGCAGAGATTTTGGACGGTGTCTGCACAGACGGGCAGAGCACAGGATGCCCTGCAGCTCAGGGTTTGTACACGGTGGATTTCAGCCAGCAAATGTGCCGTTTCTGCCTCTATTCCTTGATAAGACCATCAGTCACAACAATTAGTTTGAGACAATATGAAGATAATTTTTGTCCTAGAGGGGAAATTCTGAGTTTTTAACAAATTCCAGTAACCCCAGGCACTTCAAGTGGACAGATAATTTAAAAAGGACACGATATTCATTTTTTAGAAAACTCACCATCACGTGACATAGCTAGTAGAGTTTCAACCAGTACAGTATAGTATCGACTTCCTACTGTTCAGGAAGTTCCTCTGCAATACCACAGTCAAGAAAAGTAATATTTCTTTTACTTCAAAAAAGTTCCCTTTTACTCTTCTCAGAGTCAATCCAACCCCTACTCTGGTAGCCATTTCCTGTGAGTATAGAATTGCATTGCTTGTCCTAGGACCACCCACACGTGGATTGAGATAGGTGCCCTTGTGTCTGACTTTGGTCACTTGGGCATGTGGCCAAAGTGTCTTTAGACTCTGTCATGGAGCTTTGCATTTGGAATTCTTTTTGCCAAGTAGGGTCCCATTGGACAGCTAGGCCAGCATGTGCTCACTGGTCCATTTGCTTATGGAAATTGGGTTTCCAGTGTGGACTCTTAAGAATAAACCACGGTGAACATTTGCGTAAAAGCATTCATTTTCACATGTATATTCAGGCAACTACAACTTTTATAAGTACCTCAGTCTTAGGTGACTGGAACAAAATAATGTCAACTGTGTAGCTTATAGACAGTAGGAATGCATTTTGCAAAGTATTGGAGTCTGAGGGACCCAACGGCTAGTGAGGCATTCGTGGGTGGGTGCCTGCTCCTTGCAGCCTAGGACAGCAGAAGGGTGTTAGAGAGATTTCTCTAGCCTCTTCTAAGGGCAGAAGTCCCAATCATGAAGTCCCGGTCACTTACAATCCCGTCACTTCCCAAAGCCCCACCTTTTGATGGCATCGCTTTAGGGATTCGGATTTCAGCGCAGGATGCATATGTTCAGTCTGTGGGAATAAGTACTTTTCTAGCTCTATAAGAAACTGCTGACAGCTCTCAATGCTGTACTGCCCTGTGTTCCTGCCAGTATGTGAGTGCTCCTACTGTTCCCTGTTCTTGCCAACACTTAGTATGCTCAGCCCATTCCGGATTCTATTTTGTTGGTATTTTGATTTGTTTCGTGTTTTGCAATGGTACTACTCTGTAGCTCAGCTGGCCGGGGTTGATGTTCCTGTGCCAGCCTTGCAGGTGTCGGGTGTATTGTAGGTGTGGGCTACCATTCCCAACTTGTATAGCTTTAGTTTTACTGTTTGTTTTTTTGACAGTCTCACTGTGTGACCCTGACCGGCATGGACTTGACAGTGTAGCCTAGATTGGACTCGAACCCACTGAGTTTCACCTGCCTCTGCCTTCTGAACGCTGGAATTAAAGTTGGGTGACGCCATGCCTGATCTTTGTATAGGGTTTTTGCAAAGCAGCTTTCTAAGGTGCTGGAGAGATTCTCAGTGGTTAGAGCACTGGCTCCTCTTCCAGAGGACCCAGGTTTGATTACCAGCACCTACTTGGTAGCTCACAACTGCCTATAACTTGATATCCAGGGGACCCAATGCCATCTTCTGGCCTCCATGGACACCAGAAATGCATGTGGTACCCACATACATGTAGGCAAAACACCCATACACATAGTGAATAAAAATGAAAACAACTTTCTCGAACTGGGCCGGAGGCCTCCCACCTATAATCTGAATGGCTTGGAGAAAGTCAGTCTTAGGGCAGGGGAAGTCAGTCTGGGGTGGGGGGTTGGGGAGTTACATCCCTCCCCCATTCTTACTGTCTCTCTGCTACCTGGCTGCCGTGAAGTAAGTGCCTGCTATCAGTGATGATGGTTTTGCCTCCCCATAGACCCGCAGCAGTGAAGCAAACTCCGAGGACTAAATAAACCCTTCAAAACTGAGCACACACAAATCCTCATGTCAACTTCAGATATGTTGCCACAGCATGAAAAACTAACATATTTCAAGAATCCCTATTCATTCCCACACGAGTGTGTGCCTGTTAAAGCTGAGCTCAGAAGCCGGGCGGTGGTGGCACAAGCCTTTGATCTCAGCACTCAGGAGGCAACGACAGGCGGATCTCTGTGAGTTTGAGGCCAGCCTTGTCTACAGAGTGAGTTCCAGGACGGCCAGGACTACGCTGAGAAACCCTGTCTCCAAAACAAAAACAAAAAAAATGAGCTCAGATGGTTCAGATTAACTGCACTGCCTGCTCTGCCAGAAGACCTGGGGTCCGTTTCCCAGCACCCATATAATGGCTCACAGTCATTTGTAACTCCAGTTCTGACAGCCTTTTCTGGCTCCTTGGGCATAAGCCACACACATGGTACACAGTCGTACATGCAGGGAAAACACCCATACATATTAAATAAAATTTAAAAACCTTTTTTTTTTTTTTTTTTGGTCGTGGTTTCTCTGTGTATCCCCTGCTGTCCTGGAAGTAGCTCTGTACAGCCCAAGTGCTGGGATTAAAGGTGTACACCACTACCACCTGGCTAAAAGCCATCTCTTTGGGGGAAATAACATTTACCCTGAATGGAGTTTCAATGTAATTACGCTTTCTTGTGCACTAAAGATTGTATTACGCCAGGAAACCTCCCCGCCCCGCAGTTGTACTGTGTTTTAAAATTTGTTGGGAATAAAGTGCCTACATCAGACTCTTTGGAAGTCTTACTCCAGGTTGATGAGATCAGTTTTCATGCCCATCCCTTCAGAAGGTTTACTTCTCTTTCTGACACCTGCAGAGACCTCCTCTTTGGCTACTATTTATTTACTAGAAGTAAAATAATTTGTTTCTCTAAATTCTTTACGCCCCCACTTGGGGATCTCTATGACCACCATGAGAGAAATGAGCCAGTCAGCTGACAGTCTTGAACTGTTACCTTTTTTTTCTTTTTAGATTTATTTACTATGCACACACATACCTGAAGAGGGCACCAGATCTCACCATAGATGGCTGTGAGCCACCTCGTGGTTACTGGGAATTGAACTCAGGACCTCTGGAAGAGCAGCCAGTGCTCTTAACCACTGAGCCATCTCTCCAGCTCTCTCTCACCAGCTTTAACAATGGCCAACCACAACCAAAGAAGGAAACTTAATCTGCTTCCCACCCTCTTGCTCTGAAACCTCTGTAAAAAGGACGCCACTCTGCCGTGTAGGCCTGAATGCTCCTCAGAGCCCCTTGATGCTGCAGTCTGTCTATGTCATTAATATTTTCTTCTAATTTTTTATTGAAAGGATAATCCGTCTTTGTATTCTCATTGAATCGTGAAACTAAAACCTTTTCAAACATCGCTATTGGGAAATGAATAAAAACACAACACTCAAATGGAAATTTTATATATGTATGTTTATATGTGTATGTATATAAACATATGTATGTATATATGTGTATATATATGACATATGAGAAGTGTTTGTTTTCTATCAAAGATAGCTTGTTGGCAGATATCTGTGAGTTTGATCCCAGCCTGGTCCACATTCCAGGCCAACCAACACTACATAGTGAGACCTTGCCTCAAAAAATAAAATAGCCGGGCAGTGGTGGCGTATGCCTTTAAATCCCAGCACTCGGGAGGCAGAGGCAGGCAAATCTCTGTGAGTTCGAGCCCAGCCTGGTCTACAAGAGCTAGTTCCAGGACAGGCTCCAAAGTTACAGAGAAACCCTGCCTCGAAAAACCAAAATAATAATAATAGTATGATTACAATTTAAGCAAAACAAAAAGCCCAAAAGCAACTTACATGGTTGGTGAGAACGGGGAATTGAACCCCTTTGGTCTGCTGCTCAGAGCACAGGTGTATCTGATGTAGAGATCAGCAAATCAAACATAAAATTAACATATAACCTAGAAAATTCTGGAAATTCTATTTCCTGAGTACATAACCAAAGAAGTGAATGCAAACAGGTAATATACACCTGTGTTCACAGCACCCTTGCTCAACAAAATCCACAAGAGGCCCTCGTTTGGCACTAGGCTCCTGCACTGGGCCCTTAGCTGACCAGACTTAGCAAAGGAGTTGGCCATACTCGGTTGTCAGGAATCAATGGAACCTAGGGAGAGGGTGGGTTTCTTTTTTTTTTTTAATATTTTTTTAAATATTTAT